ATCCATCAGTTGAAAAGAAAAGATGGCTTCAATATCACAATTACGTCTTAAGATAGACTCGGCATACAAATTTACTGAAAGGTTTGTCTTTCCGTGTATATCCATAAGATTCTGTTTTCAATCAGATAACCTGTCTACCTCTGAAGACGCAAGAGGTGGGTGCGAATGCACTGTTGTTAAGATTTAAACCCTGGCGAGAACAACATTTCATACGAACCAGATAGATGAATGTGGCAGAATGAGGCTGTAAATAAAAACAAAGTCTTTTCTTTGCATCCTTGTGAGCATAGTGTCTAGAGGTGCTTGAAAACACTGACAAAATTTATCCCATGCTAATTTCGATATCACTATTTTTATGGTACTCCATTTGCAACGAGCAAACTTTTCATTTAGTTTCGAAGACGAGGGGAAGGAATGGGAAAATCGGCTTTGTCGTAAATCGAAAGAGAGTTTCAATGTAAATGATGCTGTGCGTTTGTCTGCCCCACCGAAACAGATATTGGCAAAGCCAAAAGAAAGTCAAATAAAATAAACAGTCCAAACTCCAAGACAATCATCTTTTGGTTGTTGATAAGGCCAGCCTACATACAAATGCTGGTTTACAAGTAACATGACAATTCACGATTAGAGTTCTACCTCTTCGGCTCCCTCTGTAAGGCCTAATAACGTATATACTTCCCAAAAGTTGGCTCGAATTTCGTCATCTTTAATATATACTTTTTAATTCCTATGCTGAAGATCGGCTCATTCTGAGAGTACCGTGAAACGCAGGGACCACATGCTGAGCACGGTCCGACTTTTCTCTGTGTCCCAACAGATTGGCAGCAAGATGACCCTCTATCACATCGACAGCATATCGTTTTCTTCCCCAAGCCCCAACATCATGGCTGCAACTTCGTGGAGTTTGCTGGCGAGACTTAGAGACTGAACAGCATGGACTGTTCGTCAGCAAGTGTAGCCTCGAAAAGACCCATGTTTGAAAGTAATTAGTAAGCATTTCTGTCAGACTTGCCAGCTCCGATGCAAGCAGGCGAGTGGGGCGAAGTCTTCTTCTTCGACAGGACTAGAAGCGGCAGTTGTTAGATTGGTGTTGCTAGGGGCATAAAAGAGTTTAGAGCCAAACCAGCCTAATGTTTTATCCTCATCTGGTCAGATCCAATTTCCTCTCGACTCGTGCATTTATACGCATATCCACAAAGTAGCGCCAGTCTGCGGCGAGGCCAGTTGGCAACCAAGTCCGGGGAGATTCTTTAGTCGAATTTCGGCCCATGTCCTGACGCCCCTGTTTCCGTTTTGCCGGGGACAAACTCAACCGACCTCCCTAATTCTCACACACCAATGCGGCATCGATTCCCCCCTCTCTCACCTCACCACCACCACCAACATCACCGCCTGACAACTTCATGCAACCAGTCACAGACACAGGCACTCACGGGTCAGAGTCCAGGCTTTCTGCGACAAATCTATGCGCTGCTTAACATAGCAATAGACTCGAGCTGCCAAGCTAATTTGGATTCACCTTTCTTCAATGCCGAAGTGTGTACACATAAACGTGAATGTTTGTTTATGTACATATGATTGAAAAGAAACCCTGGGGAAAACTTAGGCAATGTAACAGTACAGCGCATTTAATTAACATGTTAATAAATCCACGAGACTGGCTTCCAGTGGAGTCTCCAAATTTCAATCCGTCAAACGAAATGCATCTTTGTCAGACAATGCACCATCACACTCAATCAAGTCTTCGAACGCCCTCCCCCCCGCCCCCCCAACAAGTTGTTGCCATTTGGTTTTGTTTGGGAGCATGAGGTGCACAGGACAGGAGAGGAGACAGTATATGTTGATAGTTCAAATATGACAGGTGCCTGTATCCATGTCGTGAGTAGGGGGAGTGAGGTTACCACTTGTCCTTTCAACGAAAGCGTCTTCTTCTGCCTCCCCTCTAAACCTCCTTCTTTTGCATATGCATAGACATGTGTCCACTGAGTTACTGTTGTCATGTCTGCAGCCAGTCTGGCGCCTGTCGCACCTTGCTGGGGCTCTGGGGTGGGAGTAGAGGAGACGACAAATTCATTTGTCGCCTCTCGCTAGAATTGCCACAAGACTCCATTGTATGCCAAAATCTTTCAGATAAACGTCAAAGGTTGTATGTAAATTCGCTCGTTTCTGCAACTAGAGGCGCTTTCAACTAGACCTACCGAATTGGAGGATGATAAATGTGCGTGAGTGTATATGTGTTTGTGTGTTTGCGTGTTTGCGTTTACCTGCCGGCATATGTGTGGTGTGTTGGAAGAGTGGGCATGCTTTCGTAGGACGAAAAGGAAGAGCGTTCACTTGTAGGAGCAGAAAACGGAAGAGATAAACGGTGAGAGAGTGCGAGCTGTCATGCTTTATGATGCAATCGCTGCAACTTTGGATTGCGCAATCGGCTCTCTTTTAACTTGGCACGTGTCCCATTATCTCCCAATCGGCCGTAGACCGATAGAGATCAGATTCTGAATTCGAAAGAAAGCGGAACTCCTGCCTTTGTTTAAACAATTTGTAAAAATAAAAAGTTACTTGAATATATGAACACCCAGATGTTGTGGCCTCTGTTATGGTCGCAGTCTCCTTTCGATTTATAGAAGATTTCCGATAGAACGTTTGTCGAGGGATTGACTTCACTTGTCCCTTTTGACGAGTTCGTATCTTGGTGCGGAGAATGGCAAAGCTCACTGATGATGCCGACTACGA